TACGAGCGCATGAACGCCTGAAGATGCAAAATTAGTTTTTTGTGTAATACGTTATGGGTAGGAGAGAACAGGAAAATAGAAAGAGGAAGGCTGCAGCTAAATCTTGCCAGTCTCTCGATACAACACAGGAAAAAATAACGGATTCCCATTTTTGGATATTTTAGGGTATTTAAAGAATACCCACAAAAATCCCAAATTTGGAAGAGTGAGAAGTTGAGAAATGAGAAATTGAGAAAGTCAATGAGTGAGAAATTGGAAGTCCCAATCTGGGAACTTAGTTGGGAATTCCCCGGTCGGGACTTGTCTCACTTTGCCAAATTTGGGATTTATATGGGTATTCTTTAAATACCCTAAAATATCCAAAAATAGGAATACGTTATTTTTTCCTGTGCAATGGGTCAGTAAAGGCCCGCCCCGTCAAGAGCTATCAGACGCTGACAATGACAGTGACAGTGCAGTCTGCGACGACAGCCCAGCTGAAACCACGACTTCAGATCTATCTCAGTTAACTACAGTTTTACAGCGAGATATAAACGGTAAATCATACTCATTTTCGCAATGTCCACCAGTCTTGATCCCATTATTACGCTCTGAGATTTAGTCGCTACACCCACGGAGGCTGGAGCTCGGAACTGTTCTGACGGATTAGTTCCGCAGTATTTTGATGTGTCATTTTACATCGTAAAATTACTCCTTTATAACTAAATTCAAACAGTTGTATTCGAAAAATGTAATATTCAGTTCCTACCGTGTTCTTTGCCGTTACAATTTCTCATGTATTGCTACTTTCCTAAATAAACGGATCAGACGATAAAAAATACATTTCCGTAGTTGGGTCCGCTTTGACCTCGTTAGCACCCCCCACATAAAATCCTGGTTACGGGCCTGACTGAAGCCATTTCTGCGGAATTTCTTCGTTTACGAAAAACACGTGCGCTACACTCAGGGCTGAAGTGACTCCAGCTTCTAAGATCTGGTAATGGATTTTCAACGTCTGTTTTACATAAATCACGAGTTCGAAAATCGAACGTTCGATTGGATTCGATTGATTTTTTTTCTTTTCGGTGTGTTCGATTTCGTTCGATTGCCGAACTCAATCGAACTCAATCCACCGATTGAGTTCGATTGAGTTCGACTGAAATTTAGTTCGATTGGGTTCGATTTACTATGCCGGGCATATAGCCACAGCGGAAATCGTTACAGTTATAAGTCCAAATTTTTCATTCATTTCCTTCTGGAGGTCTTTCCGAGGAATCGTCTGAGAAGTTCTATGGACTCTTAAACTAACACAGTCTCAGGTGGGTATCGTTGGATTAAAAATTGTTAATTCGTTAAATCGCATAAATCGCTGCGTAAAATTCAGAAAACGGAACAGATTACTCGTGACTTTTGTTGTATTTTTTTACCGCTTTGTGGACTTTTTGACACTTAATACTTTAACTCAGCTTTATTTAAAAAATCTATACACATTTCGGACCAATATTGTCTCAAGAAGTTACCGAATAATTAAAGGTTTAGCGCCTACCGTAATTCGCATTTGGTTGTGCTTCGGTCAGAGGTCACGTTTTTTCGCCCGTTTTTAGTGTAATATTTACATTTGTTTGGCTTTGTCAGCGCTCGTGATTTCATTTACCCAAAAATTTTATTTCGCTAATTTGAAGAAAAAAGAATGCTCTTTCAGACTAAACAAGCCTTGGTGTTCAAAGCCATGTACCAATCCGCTTTTTTAGCTCGTGAAAAAGTGCTAAATTTTAACGGTTGATTAAGCGATTTTGAGTCAACAACTTTGAAAATTTCTTTAAAAATCTCTTGTTCACCAAATCGCGAACTAATCAGTTAAAATTATAGAGGAAAGATAGTAAAAATACGAAGTGTCATTATATTTTAGTAGCCAACTTTATTTTAAAATTTACGAGTTACTGAATATGACTCTAATTTCGCATGATTTTTGCCCATTTTAGGCCTCGGGAAGAACAAAATTCGTTAAAAAAATATTATTCACTCGATCGTACTTAAACCGACGATTTTGTAACTAGGGCCCATGGGGCTTTATTCTGGCTGAGTTTGAGGCCAGGTCATTTTTTGACTATTTCCACGTCTAGTTGACAGTTACGCGGAGCCGCTCTTAATTCTCGCCGATTGGCTTCCTCTTTCTTCTATAGTCCGCGTTCGACTGCAGCATGCAGGCTTCGTTTTGTTTTACATCACATCTTTATAATGTTATTTTGATACATGCCGATCAGCATCGCTCAGATCGGTAATCAAAGGAAATCTTATAATCGATTATTATCGATTTTCGATATTTGTCCATCGATAAGCATCGAACTCAATAGACAACGATCAATTTTTATCGACTTTCGAAATTATCAGCCCTGTTAATTAAGACTCAGTAACTAATTCTATGTTTGATATGAAAACCTATCTAATTACAATTCTGTCTGTCTTTGTTCACCTATTTCTTTCTCTTTTCTTTATTTAGTGTTAAACATGTACAGTATTTACGTTACCAACAAGTCTGGTATTGGGGTGTATATCCGCGTTCAGCAGCAAAAAATTTCTTCCGCGAATCCAAGTTTCTGCCACGATTTGGATGCTATTCAAAATGACGGGGTAGGTGATGAAGAATCGGTAAGAACTCACTTACTTCAGTGGGGTTTCTGCAAGATCGCTCTTGATGAGACCATAACATTCGCAATGGATATAGCAAATGAGGGACCACGGAGGTACGCATCTTTGTATGCTAGATCCAAATTGTTCATCGTGGACTTTGAAATAAATTGTCTGAGGTATGGCTGCCTCTTTGTAATGGGTGCATTTACAGGCTACGGCGGCGAATATCGGCTTTACCAAGCCAATCCTCAGCCGGTTTGGATTCCAGTGGAGGACGGACAACCATTGCCACAAAAGATCATCAAAGCGGGCACTACAGCTTTTGGTCGATCTCCTGGAAACGGAGAGACACCTCTCAAAGTAATTTTAGCCAGAAATGGCTGTCAGCTTACTACTATCTACAGCAAAGGATTAAAAGAGCCGAGCTTTTGTAGTGGCACAATTCTTCGCGACACTGGCCACGAATTCGTTCCAGCCAACGTTGGTGATCCTGTACCTCCCCACGCAGTCATTGGTGGTGTTAGTGTCCCAGAAGGATCGCTGTACCTTGGGAGAGTCGGAGGCAACACTCCATGCGTAATTGAAGTTGAAAGGGGCAAAGTTAAATCCTTCTGTTACGATTGCAATAAGGTTCAAAGCGGCGAGATTTTAATTCTAACAGACGATCCAAAGGTTTAGATTTTGGCAGGCTGTTTACTTCAGACTAGATTTACAACTGTTATGTTAGTGCACTACTGAATGGGACTCAGCTTTATATATGTTATTAACTAAACGAAGTTTGTCTTTCTTTGCCTTTTCGGCGAACGAGTCCAACAAACTGTAACTTGAAATTTCCTTAAGTAATTTTTATTTGTCTTTCTGAAACAGCTTAGCTGAACGCCGTGCATTATAAGACGTCAGTAAAATATCGAGGCGATTAATGTGACCGACTTCTGCTAATCGAACCTAACTTAAGGTGAGGATGCAGACAGTGTCAATAGTTCTCAGGGCCGTAGCCAGTATGAGGCGAACCGAGGCACTCGCCTCGGTAAAATTTTACCAAATACTGTCGATTTTTATTTTTTTTATCAGACTGATAATATTAGAAGATTTCATACGGCTGATTTCGTACAAC